GTGTGTGTGTGTGTGTGTTGATAATGGTGCCATTAAGCAGTGAGCGTATTTATAGAAGCCTCTTTGTAAAAGAGAACACACACTGACCCTCCGGGAGATAAAGAGGAAAACTAAGACAGGTTTATAAGAAAGTGTGAAAGTTGATTTGAAGAGGGTTGACATGTCAACTTATTTTACATTTTTATTTTTTGTCTTTTCTCTCATTTATTTATAGATATGTCGAATGGACATCCAATTATATAAAATGTAAAAAAATATAATAATATTACAAATATTGACATTTTTACTTAAGTGGCATTTTTACTGCAGGACTTTTACTTGAAATAAAGTTTGGTTTCTTTTACCTTGGAGTACTAGATTTTACATTAACATTTTTATATTAAATACAATACAACGGCTCTTAAATAAAATCAGTGTGTAATTGTGTCTCCTTGTCATGTTAGTTGACATTTCTCCTCTAAATTTCTCACATGGTTTCATTTTATAATGAAGTTCTGACTGTGAACTGTCCTCCCTCCTCTCTCCTCCTCACCCCCCCCCTCAGCCTGGCATTGCACCCGGAGCGCTCCCTGGTGGCGACGGGTCAGGTGGGGAAGGATCCCTACGTGTGTGTGTGGGACTCCTTCACGGTCCAGACCGTCTCTCTGCTCCGGGACGGACACACACACGGCATCGCCTGCCTCGCATTCAGCGCTGACGGACAGGTGACCCACACGCACACACACACGCACACACACACACACACATGTTTGAAGTGACACACTTTATGTAAGCACATTCTGTACACACACACACTGAACAAAATGAATGTGGCTGTGTGTGTCCAACTGATGGATTTTGTCATTAAAGGACAGTTGTGTATCAACCTAAAGGTCACAGAAGAATAGTGCTTTACACACACGCACACACACACGCACACACACACACAGTGAAAGCAGGACAAAAGAGGGGGAGGAAAGGAGGAGAAGAAGTGATGGGGAAGGACAAAGTATGATGATGAGAATTACGTTTTTTATCACTTTGATTCAGTAACTTTGACAATCAATGACTAAAAAGAAAACCCGACTGCATGTCTCTCTGTTTTATTTAGTTTTACAAATAATGGATGAACACTAACACTTTGCACTTTTCTGGCCCTTATACCAGATGATCCTCAAGACGGCCATAAAAGATCTGATTTATTTCTTCAAAAAGTTCTCGTTTTATTTGACTTTTTCTCAGAATTGTTGGTATTTGTAAATGTATGTTGATACTTTTACCACGAAGAGATGTCTCCACTGTTTGGTAGAGGTCTATATTTAAAAAGAAAAGTGGGGTCTATCAAGAAACATGCAAAGTGTTTGATGCAGATTTAGTTCCAGTCTTCGTCGTGCGTGCAGCCAACCTCGTCCAAATGGAGCCAGTGCAAATATTTCCATCACACAGTCAGCTACTGGTTGATTTATATCCTGTGTGGCTCCATCATCATCATCATCATCTCCTCCCACTGACTCTCCGCTGTGACTCAGTTCATCTGCTGTGAACGTCATCAGAAAAACACGCTATGATTTTACAGAAGCGTGATGGGTTCAATGTCACCTGTTCAGACCGGCGTTCAATTAGTTTTCAGGTTTCTCTCCATCTCTTCGGTTTCCTCCCGCGTGTCGGTCAACCTGTGAGAACGAAGCACAGCTCAGTGTGTCGTCAGAGAGCGATATTTAAAATGAGTTGTCTCTGGATGTGAGTGGGCAGCGCTCTGAGTAAATGAACAATCTCTCAGTGCTTCAGTCTCACACATGCAGATACAAAGAAGTAGTCAGTCTCTGGCCTCTGGTGAAGCTGCAGCTCTGTGTTCTAGTGTTGGCCTGAGCGTGTGATGTACATCCTCTGCTCAGACTGGACGGTGGTCTTTCTGCCGTACCCCACCTGCTACGGGAGGCAGCTCTTCACTTCCTGTTGCACAGTTTGTGTGGCATAAAGTTGTGCTTTTCTCAAATGTCCCCTGTAGTGTCGCTGGGCCTAGATATCTCTCGCTGCATCACCACCAGGTCACATTCAGAATGACTAGCAGCCTATTGCTGTCCCAGCATTCGAGTGCCCTTCACCTCATGATTCTTATTAATTCTGCGTCATTGTTAGTTGCTCTGTCAGCTAAATGCACGGACTGTAAATCTTATCTGGCAAAGCCCCGTTGTTCATTTTGTTCCAGACCTCCCGCTCATATTCACATCAACATAACCAGACTCGAGCAACCGAAGCAATTATGAGGGGAACACAGGATGAAGCCAGGCGACGCTATTGTAGAGAAACAAAGGTGGAGGTGGATGGATGGGTTTAAAAAAACACCAGACTTCAACACGTTGACTTTCTTCAAAGTCAACAAACTAAGCTTCAGGAAAGTGACCTTTACATCAGTGTTTGAAGAGCTACACACCCAAGAAGTTAAGAGCAGAAATATTTAAACCTAGTGTGAAAACCTTTTCAAATGTCATCCAGTAAACCAGATTCAACGGTGACAGTAAACTGCATGGAGCTTTGTTGTCTGGGGTTCTGATGGGTGTATTTCCTTCTGCCCGACTGTTAAAAAGAAATGAAACAAAATCAGACTGCGTTGTGAAGTGACAATGAAAGTTATCCGTGCTGTTGTGTCGGCAGTTTTTGATTCTTGCCGGGACTTCGGTCACGATGACTTAACAACTTTGAGTAAATCAGAGTAAACACTGAATCAATAAAATAATCATAAATCCAGCTGAATAATGAATCAACTGCTCAGGCTTTGGTGCAGCTGATTTATTATTAAGTCACGGAGTCTGGAATACTTTATGTTATGCTTTCTGCCGCCCTTCCAAAAAAAATGTGATTAAGAGCTGAGCATCAGCTGCTAAAGACGTGATTTGGTCCAAATTTGACTTCACATAAGAAAAGAAGAGCAGAGGAAGCTGTTAACTTGATCATTTTCAACACAATATCAGAAAAGATGTATTCAAATTATACAAAAAGTAACATGAGGGGTTGTGGGATGGGATGGACTCGCTGTTAAAGTTCCCGAAAACATTACGAGTTTCTATTACAGTGCAACCAAAACAAGTGTGAGGGCTTAGAAACAATATCAGCATCTAAAGTAGGAATTTAAATTGTGCCTCTTCTCCATTTAGAGTAATAACTCTCTCTCTCTCTCTCTCTCTCTCTCTCTCTCTCTCTCTCTCTCTCCTCTGTAGCGGTTAGCCTCGGTTGGCCTGGATGCCAAAAACACATTGTGTATCTGGGAGTGGAAGAGAGGGAAGATCCTGGCTACAGCCACCGGACACTCAGACAGGGTGAGTGTGTGTGTGTCTGTGTGTTTATGTGTATGTGTGTGTGTGTGTGTGTGGTGTGTATGTTTGTTTGTTACATAGACTATATGTGTGCTAACATCTCCTCTGTCCATCAGATCTTCGACGTCAGCTGGGATCCGTTTCAACAGAACCGTCTGGTGAGCTGTGGAGTCAAACACATCAAGGTAACAAACACACACACACACACACACGTACACACACACGTACACACACACACACACACACAGACAGCCTTTTACATATTATAAGCCTACATATTCAAATAATCATAATAATGWTAACGTTATGCTAGCTGGCTATCAATCTGGGATTCAGACAAAAAAATGTAGCCAAATTCATGGAAAGTCACAGCAACAAAGCCTGTCCCAGCTATGTGCATCACATTTTTGCAGCTATGTGTTGTTCAAGATGTTTTCTTAATTTGCAGTGCGTCGAGCTCTCAGGGCCTCTGTATCTGTGGTCATTGTGCTGTCGTGTCTGAGTCTGAATACAGCTGTAATGAACAACAACGTAGAGGTCTCCTCTGTCTTAATGACAAAAAGTCCTTCACTTCAACAGACCGATGGATCCAGCAATGTTACCTATAAATATCTGTTAAGGTCTCATGTGTCCTCTCTCTCTCTCTCTCTCTCTCTCTCTGTCTGTAGTTCTGGTCTCTGTGTGGTAACGCTCTCACTCCAAAGAGGGGGATTTTTGGGAAGACAGGCGACCTGCAGACCATCCTGTGTGTGGCGTCTGCTAAAGACGACTTGACGTACTCCGGGGCGCTCAACGGGGACATTTACGTCTGGAAGCTGCTCAACCTGATACGAACAGTTCAGGCTGCACACGGGGTGAGAGACCTTTCACCTCCATTAAAGGTTCTCAGCTCTGGCAGCAGAGAGACAAAAGTAGAAAAATCTTTTATAAAATAATCAATTTATAGTTAAAGCTCGAACTGACCTTTACCTGAGTAAAGACTTATCTTTGATCTACTCGGTTTTCAAGTCGTACTTTTGGGTCCAAACCTAAGACGTTACACCAACACAGAAATTCTACTCGTTTACAAAAACATATAAGAAATGCAGCATTGCTGTAGATCTGCATCAACAACTTTGTTAAACTGAACTGGCATTGATTATTGTATATACATTTTGGAGTTGCACCTTATTGTTAGGCTCTTTACTTTGTACATTTGCACTCTTTGCATGTTGCACTCTACCTAACTTTGTATTACAAGTGGTGCACAACAATTTCCCTCGGGATAAATAATGTTTTATCTTATCTTATGTCATCTTCGTCCTACAGGAACCGTTCTATCTAACCAAACTAGATGTGTTCTTTCAGAAGTCTTTCTACCCTGAAATTGTTTACTGGAGCTTTACATAAATCAAGACGGAATTAAGTGTAAAAAGGAAGAAAAAGAATCATATCACGGTCTGCTCAGTGTATGAATGCAGACCTTTATATTTCTCTTTATTCTTCAATAGACATTAGTTAATAAATATGTGGGTACCGTAAATGACCCGTGTGTGTGTGTGTGTGTATGTGTGCAGGCTGGTATCTTCAGCATGTATTCCTGTGAGGAGGGTTTTGCAACAGGAGGCCGAGACGGCTGCATCCGACTGTGGGACGCCGACTTCAAGCCGATCACCAAGATCGACCTTCGAGAGGCCGAGCAGGGATACAAAGGTACAAACGGCAGAAACTAAACACCGGAATACAGCCACGACATCAGCAAGACAGAAACACAACATTTATACACAGTTTGGACAAACTAATGTCGAGCCCATACATCAGCATGGGGGAATGCTGTGATGTGCAATACCGAGTTCATCCTTCTCTCGGTGCCCAGCGGCAGGGAGTGAGGTGGACGGACCATCTCATTTCTTTTGTTCGTTAAACAGTAAATCCATTAAATTCAGTGCCCAACGCTGTTATCCAAGCTACTGTAGCTAGCTTTCATCATACAGAAGTGGCTTCATCTCTCAGCCCACTGATATTATGCAGTGGTTGGACTGTAGGGCTGAAGTTACTCTTTAATAAAAACATTCAGGCCACATTTCTGATACATTTTAGACTTATGGAAGCCACAAAGTGGGTGTTAGTTGCAAGTTTTATATAAACACATGTAGATTAATAATCTTTATTGTGTCTCCTTCACTTCTAAACCAAAAGTAAGATATCCAGGTTACAGGTTGCAGGTTAATACCAGGCGGAGATGGACAGACAGACTGTCTGTTATTTGTGTGTTTGTGTGAAACCTTTAAATCTCTCCTGTTAACGAGAGCTCTGGCCTTTCAAACTCTTTGTCCACCACCAACACCCTGACTGGCTATTTAAGCCTTTTCTTCAAACCTCATTTTAACTTGAATAAACCCGCTGACGTTAAATATCACTTTATCTGCTTTTCTAAAGGCAGACGTTACCCATCATCCTCCTCACCAGAGAAGAATAGAGAGAAGAGAAAAGGTCACTTTGTGATCGGAGACTCTTTTGTTAGTTGAAGGTTGTGACTGTTCAGTCTCCTGAATAAATGAGGAGGAGGTGGAGGCTTGAATCCTTCACCTCCATTGCAGTATTTCTCTTTTCCCTCTAACGACATTTGTAAAAGATGTTCAGTTGTCAAGTTCCGTCTCTAGTTGGAAACAGAAATGACCTGATTTTCCGTCTTTGAGGAGAAGTTTTCAGGAGAGCAGAGAGGGTGTAAAAGTTTGTCTTCAGCAGGAGAAGGGGACTAAGCTGATTCCGTGAAAACCCAGAGGTGGTGAAGGTTTGAACTCCTTAATGCCGACGATAGAGATGTTATTCTTTTAGGAAAAGCTGCGGGGGTGCACCATTAAGCCCCTGGCCTCCTTTTTATCTCCTTCTGACGGTTTCTGAGGAGAAAGTTTGAAAATAAAATACAAGAGGGAAAGAGGTAAAAGTTTTGTCTTTTCTGTTTCCAGTCAGAGTTGGAAATGTCCTCGTTCTGGAGAAGGTGGAAGTTTAACTGCTTTACCTCTTAAAGGGCTTTGAAGAAAGTAGCTCCTCAGCAGGAGACGACTTCTGGTTTAACAGAAATAGAATAGAATAGAATAGAATAGAAACCTTTTTTTTTTAACAAGGGTTAAGGACAGGAAAGGTTCTCAGTCTTTTCTTTTCCTCTCTGAAGGTGAAAATATTAAAATGTATAAGACAGAAGGTTTGTCCTGTTATCAGCCATGTTAGTGGAAAAGTCTGGTAAACAACTATTTGATGGATTGTTATAATTGTGGAAAGTCTACTTTTACCATAAATCATTTATTATTACAGGCTCATGATAAAAAATGTAAAAAACGAGCCCAAAAATGATGCAGTGCAGAAAATAATGTTCTTCTTTGTGGAACGTTTTAAAGGTTCACTTGGACGAGTAATATCTGGATTCCTCTCCTGAAGCCTTTAGGGCCAATAAGAAAAGGATCCACATGAGACACACCTGTAGAAGAAATGCATCATTTGTTCACGGATCCAGATGTTTCATTCGAGCAACATGAGAGTAAACATGAAAAAGCTCAGTGAGGAGCAAAATAACCTCTAGTGTAACGAATCAAAGTGTTGTGTTTAAGGAGTCGAGTGTGAGGAAGAAGATAAGACCTCAAAATTAAATGAAAGCAAGAGGCGATAATTCTTCCCCCACATTTCTTTCCTCTGGGTGCTTTAGCAGTGATTTGTTAAGGTGAAGTTGTATTGCTGCCTTCTGGCTGCTATTAACACTTCTGAGAGGACGTATCAGAAATCCTTCCTAGAGTACTCTTACAGTGCAAGTCTTCCAATTTACCTCGTAAACTCGTCTGGTGTGAATCTGCAGGGAGGAGGTTTTAACAAAGTTACAGGAAACCTCGCACGCTGGTTCACGCCGTCAGCGACAGCAGACGATCTAATTGTCGAGCGCTGCGCTGCTGAACGGCTCTGCTAATTACATTCTAGGTGCTGGGGAGCAGGAGTGTGACGGAGAGGTTGGAAAGTACCCAGAAAAGGAAAGAGAGAAAAAAGTGTGACTTCCTCCTGCCTTGACACAAATCTTTCCCCTCTAGTCTGTCGCTTCTGAATCCTCCTGTAGATGTGATAATTAACTTGTAATATTTTCCTTTTGAATAAATGTAGTGAAGGAAAACAGTACAATGTTTGTCTTCAAGATGTTGCGGAGTAGAGTACAAAGTCACCTGAAAAGAAAAGACTCAAGTACCTCAAATGTACTTGATGAAGAGTTTAGAGAATATGAGGTTTTGTTATCAATTAAACGACCCAACAGCTGAAACGATTGATCCATTAATCAATTAGTCCATATTTGCTGCTCATCCTTTTAATAATGGTAATAATTGTAACGTATTAGTAATGTTGAGGTTTGGACAACATCGGACGCACCGACCTTATTGCTCCTCCTCAGGTAAACACTGTTCGCTCTGTCAGCACTTTTGCTGTTGTTTGAGTCCCAAAAAATGGAAATAAGTCCGCTTTTTACACTTCCGGTTCCCTAGTGTGACAGTACATTTTTTATTTTGAATGAGTTCTTGCTTAGCTGCCAAAAATAAAGTCTGTGGTTAACACAAGCTTCAGATATTTTAAAGATTTGCTCTACAATATAAGATGCGTCAGTTAATATCCCTCTCAGGAATTGGAACCTTTTAAATGTCTTTAAAAATACAGTTTTCTACAAGTAGTCAAATGAGACTCCTAACCGTCATCTCATCAATCTGTCCTTCACAGCCTTGTTGTTTATACTCGCGCTTATGCGACCCTGGTGTAGTTCTTTAAAAGCCTAACGTTAGTGTTTTACTTGTGCTGATAAGTGGTAAAAATCGTATTAATCCTCTTCTTCCTCCTCCTCCTCTTCCTCCTCCTCCTCCTCCTCCTCCTCCAGCACTGTCTATTCGCAGCGTCTGCTGGCGAGCCGACCGAATCCTAGCGGGAACACAAGACAGCGAGATCTTTGAGGTGAGAACGCAGACAAATGAAAGGGAACAGCCCCACGTTGTTCCTCCGTGCAGAGACGCTTTTATTTTGGTGAGCTACACGCTGGCTCCTCATTGGCTCACATTCAAATTAACCTCACTGCAAAGTGTGATACCCAGTCAGCAGTATTCAAGATCAACTAAACTAAGACCAAGTAAAGACCCACACCTGACCAGTGGGAGTCCCACACTGCATGACACACCTATGATAAAATGTGGAACCTGAAAACCAAAGGCGCTCCTCAAATTGATCTGAAAGATCCACATTTCCATAAAAACACCCACAGAAAGCAAAGCAATTTATTGCCATGTACACTCTGTGTGTGCAAGTCCACCTTGAGAAAAGCCTTGATGAAATAATTACAAGACGTTGCTTGTTTTATTTGCCCTGTGAGCATTCACACTAATGAGTTTAACAAGTAAATCAGAGAATTCACAGGCAATCTAGTAATAAGTAACCAAATGTAAAAGTACTCAGTATGCAGAATGGCTCATTTCAGAGTAATATATATTGGATTATTGGATTATAATGATTGACACATTAATGTGTTCAACACTTAATGTTGCAGTTAAGAGCCCAATTAAATGACTTTTTATACTGCTGGGTTGCTTAATATATAATAATGCATACAATAATTCAATGAAAATAGTTGACTAATTGATTTGTCAATTGATTAATGGACGAATCATTTCAGCTGTACTTGTATAAACTGTTATGTAGTTAAATTAATAACAAAACTTCATATTGTATAGATATGTTATTTGTGTAGAAATCTTAATTTGTAAAGTAACTAAAGATCTCAAATGAATGTAGTGGAGTAGAAGTATATACTAGTACTAGTGGTAGTACCTCACATTTGTACCTAAGTAGAGTTACAGGTATTTAGACACAACTCAACCTAAACTTGACAGTCAAGGTTGGAAGTAGCATCAGTTAAAAGCAGCGGTGGAAAGTTACTCAGCATCTTCCTGCCTGCGTCCAGGTGATGGTGAGGGATCGGGACAAGCCGCTGCTGATCATGCAGGGACACGGCGAGGGCGAGCTCTGGGCGCTGGACATTCACCCCAAAAAACCTCTGGCTGTCACCGGCAGCGACGACCGCTCCGTCAGGTCGGTGCACGGACGCTCACGCTCGTATAAATAGTTTCTGAGTGGTTTGAGTTGATTTGTGGTGTGACGGTTTCTGCTCGTCTCCAGCATCGGCTCACTGTTTGCTGAGATTCCCGAGAGACCAATTATAAATGAACACACACAGTCAGCTGAACACGGCGGAGAAACAAAGAAAGATGCTGACATGTTTGTTGGCTTTCCTTTTCATATATGATTCTAGCATATAGTATGTACTTCAGAGTGATAATCCTGGCAGGATTTAAATGGAATAAACTATAATTAAAAAAGATAAAACAGCTGTTGCCACCATAACTTGAGAGAGCTCTTGAGAGAGTATTTTAAGTATTACAAATATTATTCTCCTCAATGTTTTGTGAATACGACTTCTGAGGTTACAGGTTCTTAAAGGTTCAGGTTATTTGAAAATTACAGATTGTTAAGTTACCGTTGTGGAGAAGGTATATATATGTATCTTATTTGATACACCTAATCTAGCTGTGTGTGTGTGTGTGTGTGTGTGTGTGTGTGTGTGTGTGTGTGTGTGTGTGTGTGTGTGTGTGTGTGTGTGTGTGTATCAGGTTGTGGAGTCTGGTGGATCACGCCCTCATCGCTCGCTGCAACATGGAGGAGGCGGTGCGGAGCGTGGCGTTCAGCGTGGACGGATACCAGCTGGCTCTGGGCATGAAGGACGGATCCTTCACTGTGCTGAGAGTCAGGTAGCGCACACGCACACACACACGCACGCACACACACACACACACACACAACCACACACACACTGAATTAAAATCTCATATTGCTTTGTTTTTCTATGTCCGCCTCAGAGACATGACGGAGGTTGTTCACATCAAAGACAGGAAGGAGGTGATCCATGAGATGAAGTTTTCTCCAGACGCAGCGTATCTCGCTGTCGGCTCCAACGACGGACTCGTGGACATCTACGCTGTCGCCCAGAGATACAAGAAGGTAGGGATGGAGGCACTTTGGCATTGAAGCTGATGCTGAAAAGCTCCTTTGCTAGTATGAATGATAATCACCATTTTATTCTATGAAGAAAAAAACATTTTGTGGATTTTAATACCTGCATACTCTCACAATTTGTTTTGATTATTTCCTCTGTCTGCCTGTCTGTCTGTCTGTCTGTCTGTCTGCCTAACTATAGGTAGGAGAATGCAGTAAATCAGCCAGTTTCATCACTCACCTGGACTGGTCTCTGGACAGCAAAATCCTGCAGACCAATGACGGAGCTGGCGAACGCCTCTTCTACCGAATGCCCAGTGAGTCGCTGCAGTCTAACGTTGCACTAATCATGAGGAATTATCTAGAGTCAAGAGACAGTTTTCTATACTGTGGGGAAACAATGTGCATCAACACCTCTCTCGGCTAAATATTAAAATTGATTTAATTCAAGAGGAGGTCCAAATGTGGTCCTGAAAAATGTCCCCTCTTAATCCCATTGTCCCCTGTTGGAGAGTGTGTAACAATCAGAGCAAACTGAAAACACAAACATATTCAAGACTGCAGGAAACTGTGTGTGCGGACACGTTCATACACGAAACTCTCTGCAACTCAACTCAGAACAGAGTCCAGCGTAGAAGATTAAAATCGGCACCATCCACACATTTCCTTTTTCTTGCTTCTGTCTGTGAGAAAACGATTATTATTGATAAAATTGTGCACATAGGCTGTTTGTTATCATTAGCATCAGCTGAAAGATAAACGGGTGAAACATTTGCTGCAGAAATGAAAAAGTGCATTAAAGTTAATTAAAGTTCGTTAAAATGCAGACTGCTTTCTTTCTCCGCCTCCTGCAGTGGGGAAGCCGATTGTCAGTAAGGAGGAGGTGAAAGGTCAGCGCTGGGCGTCCTGGAGTTGCGTCCTGGGCTCCGATGTCGGTGGCATCTGGCCTAAATACTCTAATCTAACTGAGATCAACGCAGTGGATGCCAATCACGCTGCTGCTGTACTTGTGACCGGGGACGACCTCGGCCTCGTTAAGCTCTATCGCTTCCCCTGTCTGAGGAAAGGTCTCTACCTTTCTTTACTTTTGGGTCTTATATGCTTTCTTCTCTCTGTTTTGTTGTTAAATGTGAGTCGTCTGTTTTCTCCAAGGAGCTAAATTCAAGAAGTACATCGGTCACTCTGCCCATGTGACCAACGTCCGCTGGTCACATGACCTGCAGTGGGTGCTGACCACAGGTGGGGCCGACCACGCCCTCTTCCAGTGGAGGTTTCTGCCAGAGTCGGTCATGAACGGAGGACCGGATACCAACATACAAGGTGCGAAAACCGGGAAGAGTTGAGAAGAAAATCTGTGAAGCGCATTAGATGATGAGGAACAAAGTAGAGTCATTCAATACGAGTAGATTTCATTACAAAGTAGATGCAAACAGTGCGTCTCCAATGGGTTTCAGGTTATTTTGAGTCCTTGGAGGGGGTCTCTCAGGTCATTTTAATAGATTCATAGGTCCTCAAGAGATCTTCCTCGGGCTTTAGAGAGTTACAAGGGTCACATACTATTAAATGAAGCCTTTATGCTCTTAAAATTGTGACTTTTTCTCCAAATATTACAACAATTTATTGTCGAAATCAAAGAGAACACAGATATGTGGGAAATATTTTCATTTGCAGAAAGATTTGAATCAGCAGATATTATGCAGACACACACATGAAAGTCCTGGGGTGTTAAATTAATTAAAAGCCATTAATTTATCATTGAAGTGCATAAATGCTAAACAGACTAAATGTAATGTTATATAATATTTAATATAGAACCGACACCCTTGATGTGGTGCCAGGTTTTCTGAGGCTATAGAGGTCCTTTGAGAGGATTTCAAGAGTCCAATAGTATTTTGAGTATTTTGTTTTGAGAATATTGTGTTTTCTTAATTAAGTTCTTGTTAGGAAAAGTTTTTTGTTTTTTTTCTTGATTTGGGTTTATGGGTCCAGATTTGAGTTCCACGGTTTCTGTAAGTGGTGCCAGGTTTTCTTGAGGCTTTAGGGGTACTCATGGAAGTTTCAAGGGTCTCTTCAGTGGTTTCAGGTTTCAGAGGGTCCCAAAGATGTCTTTGTGAGAGTTCCCCTGAAAAGACCCTTCAATGGGTTGATAGTATCAGATAACGGGGTTCAACAAAGGTTAAAGGATCAATGTACATGAATTGTTATAATTATCTATTCCATTACTGAAATGTAAGTAAGCATCTGGAGAAAGTACAATGGGGCTAAATTGAAGAAATAAGTAGCTCTGCTATGTAATAAATGTCTGCAATGGACAGTTTGGGTAGTAATGTGAATGTTCACCTTAGTATTCATTCACCCAATTAACCGAATCACTGGTTTAGACAACGAAGTCACACAGAACGTGTCTGTCTGTCCGTCTCCTCTGTAGACAGTCACGGGGACTCTAACAGCGAGCAGTCGGACAGCGACGTGTCGGACGTCCCGGAGCTCGACTCCGACATTGAGCAGGAAACACAGATCAACTACGACAGACAGGTAGGGCCCTGAGCAAGGCACCGAACCCTCAGAGCTGCTCCAGAGTGGTTTCACAGAGCAGCTTGTAGAAACGTTACAACGGAGGGCTCCGCCGCATCGGCTCCTCGTTCTCATTCAGCCTCGGCCTCGGCAGGGCTCCGCGCAGTTGCCATGGCGATCCTAAAACACGCCTTATCTCCAAACCCAGCCGCTGCCTGGCACACGTCCCCGTGACTTCCATTTGCCACCAGTGTTGCAACAACGTGCTGTTTGGAGATAGAGCCCAAAGTGTGTGTGTGTGTGTGACAGACAAAGAGAGAGGCTGTGTGTGTGTGTGTGACAGACAAAGAGAGAGGCTGTGTGTGTGTGTGTGTGTGTGTGTGTGTGTGTGACAGACAAAGAGAGAGGCTGTGTGTGTGTTTAGATTTAACAATAAAGTTTAATTGGAAAGAGCAGTAAAACATGGATTATTATTTTTTATTGTAATCCCTCATCCTTGGCCTGCCTTCTTTCCCTTTTTACAATTTCCTTCTCCCCCCTTTTTTACATCCTTTCTCCCTACCTCCCTCTCTTCAGTTTCTTCCTCCCCTCTTTTCTCAAAATGAATATCTCAACAAGTAGTCGATGGATTTGCAAAGACCTTAATGGTCCCCAGCTTGAGTCTTGTGGTGATCCCCTGATGTTTCCTCTGGCGCAACCATGAGGTTGACATTTTTAATTACATTTCTCGACACCAATCGGATAAACTGTCATGAGACTTTGTACAGATATTCATAGATGAAGATGCATAACTTATCTCCACCTTGTCAGATATACGTTGTTTTTAACAGGTATATCACAACAACTGGTGGATGGGTTGTGATAAAATGTAGTTCAGACGTTCATGTTCCACTCGGGATGAAATGTAATCATAAAGACAACGTTTTAATGTGTCCAATACTTTGGTTTATAACCAAATACATGCAGAACAAATGACATTCCCATCAGCTTCAGTTGTACAAATGTTAGCATGCTAACATGCTAAACTATGATGGTGCACATGGTAAACATTATACCTGCTAAACATGTTGAGCTGCAGACTCTGAGTCTTGTTTCAGTTGTAAATGAGTTACTCTCATAATCAATGTTTAGCTCACACCCACTTAGAAGATGGACATACATGTTAGTATTCGAAAATTTATAGATTATTAGAAAATGAAGATGAACAGCGAAGGTAAAAGGTTAACAGAGACGATTTTCCTTTGAGATGATTCTACAGTGAGGAGAAAACAGGGAGTCTAGATTCCAGACACAGTGAAATGGTCTGTAGCTCACGGCGCTGATCCACCATGACGCTCCGGAAATATGCAGTTTTGTAAATGAAAAGCAGCATGAAAGTGGAGCGCTGCCAGTCCCGAACCTCCTGGGAGCAAAGTCTCTCCCTGTGAAACTCTCAGACGGCTGAAACACGCCAGCTCACCCTCAGCAGAACAATTTGCATGAAAAATGAGCAGGCGAATCCTCTGCTGAGTGCGAAAACACTGCAGACTGTGTTCAGTTTCATTCTCTAACCGATAAAGAGGAGCCGAGAAACGTCTACACAGCAGATGTCATGTTGTTATGTTGAGATTATTTATTAATGATTGTGTCTACGATGTCATAGATGATCTATGATTTAATTTTCTTGATGAAATGAAGATGATCAATGAGCCAAAGTCTGTCCGACACTGTCCACCCCACACCATGTTGATGAGACACTTTGAGACTTGTAATGCCAAATATTATTGATTACGCAACAAGAGAAAAGATTATATTAGTTTGGTCAGTACAATCTGAGCCCTAGTTTGCAGTGATATTTCCCGACTCCGTTCCTGTTCCCCAGAGGATGAATCCTTTAGATTTTAATCTGGCGTCACCATCAGGACAAACGTTGATGTTTTTAGCTCCACTGCTGTCTTCAAAAAGCTAAATAATCATGATGTAGTTTCTCTGTACAAAACTTTCATGTTGACTTTTACTGTTGTTGTATTATGACACAGCTTGGCATATGTGAAAAATGAACGTGTGTGTGTGTGTGCGTGCATGCGTGTGTGCGTGTGTGCGCGTGTGTGTGTGTTGCTGCAGGTGTACAAGGAGGACCTGCCTCAGTTGCGACAGCAGAGCAGAGAGAAGAAACTGCAGGTTGGATCTCTGAAGAGACAGCAAGGACCAGACCAAGGCCTCCGGCTGCAGTTTGTTCACGGGTAACTTATCAGATACTCATTTGTGTTTTAACATAATTTCTGCTCACGTTCACAACTTTCTGCAAATTCAAAATATTTCCCACATATTTTTGTTCTCTGAGATTTCCAGAATACGTTTGAGAAAACGTCAAAATATTACGAGAATAATGATAAGTTGTAAAATCATAATCATGATCATAAAAGGACTACCCAACATGTGTAGAACACACACAAATTGGAATTAAAAGGTTGGTTTTATCTGGAATATAGAAATGTTACATTATTAGCATTGAGGAAAACTATTAATGTTGCTTGATAAAATAGTTTGACAGAATATTTTATGATTCTAAAACAATATTAGAGCCTCTAAGGGTCCAGTTCAAGAGTAACAGCAGGTCGTAACACTGTGTTTTTAATAACACTTAACAAACACCTAATAGAAATAAACTCTCCTTAATTAAACAAATAAAACATGAGTACAGGGAAGTCTTGTTTATGTGTCTTTTATAAAATGCTGCTTCTTTTTCAGTGTAGGTAACAGAGTGAGAAGACGTTCCACCTTTGCCTCAGGCTCAGGTTTTAGTGAAGGAGAAATAATGAATTACAGAAATAATGTCCTTTTAAGTTGTAAAACCTCATAGTGAGAGCTTCAAACAGTAATTACAGAATGTGGAGAAAAGAGGGCTGAGTTGTGACATTGTGCTGACTTTGTTCAATTACTGATGACCCTACAGATGCATGTGTTGACTTCTGTTATTTATGAAGGCCTGAAAATGGCGAATGATGCCCACTGAGGCTGGGTTGCGCGGCGCCTTGTCAGTAGGACTGTCGACCTTTTTCCATAAATTGCTGAGCTCTTATTTTTCAGACTGCGACGCACAAACACGTCAGTGAGCGATCACAGAGATAGATGTCTGGTTGGTTGGTAACATTAATGCTGTGTGTGCGTGTGTGTGTGTGTGTGTGTGTGTGCAGGTACCGTGGCTACGACTGC